GGGACTCCCACCCAGTTGGCAAGACTGGTTGCAGGGGGGACACGTGTCCCCTTGACTAAGGTGGCACCAGTCACCCATGCACTCGCTTCTCTTTCCATAAGCCCCCCTAAGCCTTTGCTGAGAAGAGAAGCATAAAAATAAATAAATAGATAATAAAATAATCTGAATACAGTGCAAAGCAACTGCATTAAGAGCCTATCACAATGGTGTCCTGATAGGAAATCATGACAGTCCTATTATGGTGGAAATCCTTTCGTGATCTAAAAGGTTGCCTTATGCTCATGAAAGGAACTGAAGAGCAACAGATTCCAAGTTTAATCTGTACTGAGGAAAATGTGAATGATTCTCAGAAAGTGGTTCACTCTCAATCCAAAGTGTGCGAGTCCCTTCACTACCTTTTCTGAAGTTACTTTTATGACTCTTCCTCAGTCGTGATTTTCCTGAAGACTCATAATTCTGTGTGATATTTATACACTTCTGCTAGCTTCTCATTGGCTTCCTTTCCCTTCAACACCCGAGTTCTCTCTCACTTAACGTGTTCTCAAGTGCCTCGCTTAACATGCTCAACCATGAGCACTTCTACTCTTCACCCTTATAGCAGATGATAATGCATATCAGTATTACTTACTACCTGTTTCCAACAGGCTCTCCATTCTCCCTATCTTTGATACCAGTTCCCAAGACCCAAAAGCCATGGTGCAGTACTGCTTGTCTACAACGTCCAGAATCTTTACCTGTGGAGATGACTCTAAAAAGGAAAATTCCTAACCAAGCAAATGTTAAATTAGGGAGCTGGCAATGTTCAGGAGGAAAACTGCCAATATTGATGAGCTCCATAACTACAACACCCAATTAAGGGAAATTATTGGACCAAGTAATCTTGTCTAATTATATTCTAATATTTAAAGTTTTTGATTTTGTCCAGATGAAGTACAATTATTGTTATTTATTTTTATTCTGATTGTGTCACAATGTACTAGGAGCTATACATTCATAACAGAGCATAACACCTCCCATACCCAAGAACATCAAATTGAAGCTAATGCAACTGAGCAACATTTTAGACTATTACAGGTGAATTTGTTCATCTACCTTTGTTAGGGCCCACCTACACATTCAAATGAAAGCTGTTGAAACCAGCTATACAGTTGTTACACATTTTCAAGCATTAACTTCATAGCTGGTTGGCTCTTTTTAAAGATGAATGGCTATTTTTTAGTCTGATAATTACTTTGTATAGGTGGCTGTTCTAAATTTAGCATGTGTTGACCAGTAAATTGTGTAATACATGTAATGTGTAGCAGGGGCCTTTGAATGATATTATAATTGGACGTAAATAAGGAAATGCCATTAGGATGGTAAAGACATGAGAGTAGCACTGCATTAAAGGGTCAAAAAGATAAATAACCCCCACAAAATGCATGTTATTTGTCTCTCCCTCTCTCCCTCTTCCCCCCCAACTTTGCATTAAAAAAATGGGATATTATACAAACAAAATACCAGGATCTTTGCTAGCATATTACGTCCCAAAGTTATATACATATATCTCTACTGCAAACAGAAAATACTATTTGCAATTCCTGAAAATATATTTTTTCTTTTAAAAACCTCAGTCTCCGATGCAAAAGCATAATGGTACTGAGAATTATGTATATGTAAATATATATGTATATGTACCAGTGACAACTATCAAAGTTCTAGGACGCTTCCATAAATTACTAATTTTTAAAGATTTATTTTTTAGATACAAGTGTAAGAACTTCCAGAGGAATTCACTCTGTAACACTTTTCCAAATACTTAGAGCCATAATTGTACCATAACAAGTACCTGTTGTGCAGTGTGTAAAGTACTTGAGACTCATTTAAAATCTATTAAAATTAACCTTCCCTTTTTGATTTATGTATCACCAAATGCCATGTAGTAAAGAAAACTGAAAAATAAAATGAATGAAATTAATGAATGCTTTCAAAGCCATAGAACTTGTTCTAATGTGACATGGCAGCCAAATATAAAGACCCAAGCTGCCAGATGAAATATCCTAATACATTTCATTTGACTACTTCCCATTTTTACCCTGAATTGCTACAAAAATGTAAATGCTTCTCAGGATAAATGGAAAGGAACACATGGAGGTGCAAGCATGTTAGTACCAAGAAAGAGGAGGCAGAAGTCTTTCCTTTACAGTACAATACACATATATGCATTGCATGCAACACACAACCTACCTCTTCATTACCCTACATACTCACGGCCATAGCAAAGCACAAGGCATGCGGACAAAGCAAAGGGAAAAGAAAGAGACACCAAGACCATATAAAAAGCTGGCATGAGGACATCAGCACGCCACAGACACACGCTGAAAAACAAAACCAAAGCTCTGGAATCTTCCACGCTGTGAAGTATACACAGCTGCCTTCTCCAGCATGTCTTTGAGAAGTGAGAAGGCAGAAAATGAAAGCAAGGTGAAGCTGCTAACTGTGCAAATAAGAGCATATGTGCTTTGGGATACTTTGAAGATTTCACCAATGTCTCCATGCCAAAAGTTTTGAGCTAATCTACAAACTGACAGGGCACAATAAGCCAAGAAAATGGCCATTCTCCTGAAGATAGATCCTTTCAAGGAAATTGTATGTCCTATTTGTATGGATTCATTCAGAATACACTTAAACTTAGCTGCTAGAAATGTATTTTGAGTCTATAAAATATGACATGCTATTCTCAAAACTATTCAAAAGTTCCTTTTAGAAATATTTTAAGCCAATTTTCCAAACCTAAATTTTGTGCATGAAATGTGTATGCATCACTCTGAATTCAAAATCATAATTCTCTGCATGAAACAGCATTTGCACACAACTGTCCAATGTATGCCTATTTGCAAATATTTTGTTTGTGGTACACAATTACCATTTTAGATCTTGATTGTGCATGTTTTACCCACATATTTTAGATACACATTTTGGATAATTTGCCCCTGAATAATTTATCCACCCCCTATCACAAATGGTAACATTTTCTCATAAACTGTATAGACATAGATGATTGTGCCACACATCCTTACAGACTCACACATCAAATCCTAACCATACACTTAATTATAAGATAATTGTTATTGCCTTTGTAGCATATGAAGCAGTAGACAGCCGATTAAATTAATTTATGGTTACAGTGCAGTGGAGGGTTTGAAACAATCGGAAGAGCTGTTTATTGTGAGCAATATATTCTAAAATGCAACAGAGATTATTAGGATTATACAGGTTTTGAAATGGCTGCCACTGTCTTAGGCTTTCCAATGTTAATTATACTGAGTCCAATCAAACTTCTATCCAAACTTCATCTGAACTTTGGAGTGATATTTGAAATTCAATTCATGATATGAACGCAAATGTCTCTTATGAATATACTGGTCAAACATAAAGCCCTGATTCTAACATCCAAACGCCCGGTGGCTTTTCAAAATCTAGGCTCAGGTCTGACATGATCTTAACCTGCCTTTGGTTGCTGGCCATATTGAGAATGAACAACATGTTTAGCAAAGGCACAGTTCTTTAAGAACAGAACAATTGTTTCAGGGAGCAACCTGTTTGAAAAAGAGGAGTGATCAGTTAGCACAAAGAACTACATTTTCAAAAATTACTCCAAACTGCAATTTGACAAAATCAAGCCTCCCTCCTCCGTAAACTGTTACGTCATGCCTGCTGTTTGGAAATGATTGGAAAAATCAACCTTGCCTAAGGGGTAAATTATAGGTTTGCTGCCCCAGGTGCAGATCAGAAAAGAAAGTATGAGTTCAAGTCACACAAGTCTCTTTCTAGTTCCTTCCCCACTTCCTCTGGGGGAAAAGGTTTGCTGCTGATACAGACCAGTAAGAGATCACTCACTTCCGCAAAACTGCATTAACTGGTGGCTAATGCCTTCTGGGCTAAGCCAAAATTTCAAACCATTCTCCATCCACCTGTACTGAGGGTGGGGATGAGCAGTGGGATCACTAGGACTGTGTGCCTCTTCCCATTGGGTAACCTATGATACAGGTACAAGGTACACTGCACAGCAGACCTAGAGAGTGCCTTTAGGGCCCCATTTCCCTGTATGACATGTTAACAGTTGGAGAAATCTTCTCTTAGATCAAACAACTATCTTTAAATACAAAAGTAGGATTCTGAATATGAAATAACTCCCTAGGATATTTTTATGAACAAATTATTGGAGCTACCTTTGAAAATTTGGACATGTCAAAACAGGCTTCATTATGCAAAGAAACTGTTCAACAGTTCTGAGTTGTATTCACCTAAGCATTTTCTCTTGAGTGATATCTACTGTATTTTCTTGCATACAACACACACTTTTCCCCACTCCTAATTCAACACCCTCCTCCAAATTGAGGTCTTATGTGGGGAAGCTGATTTTTTTCTCAAGACAGAAGCACCCTGCTTTGATCCCTGCTCCAGAATGCTGTAGCTGTGGTATTAGTATTCAGGCAGCTGAGGGAATCAATGGACTAAATGGCTCATTCCCCTTTACTCCACAAGTGTTAACAATTGTTTCCTCTTTTTAAAGGTCTTCATGTTCTATTAATCAAGGCAACTTTACTCAGGGCTATTTTGCTCTATGCTGGCTGCTCCTGGTCTCTCTCCTGTTTCATAGCCCTGAGAACTCTTTAGCTCTTTTCAAAAGCATAGATCCACCCATGATGTCTTCAGTAACAGCTAGGTTTTCAGCTTTAGTTAAGCAGGCAAGGGAGGGTGAGTCATCTGAAGTTTAGGCTCTGTCCCTGCTCTATGGAGCCATAATTCTGGAAAACATTTCTTTTTCTGGAGCATGCTGTATGCAAGAAAATACAGAAATATCGGCATCTAGTTGTTCACTTTTTGAAGAAAAGTCAGGAAAGGCACTACCAATGAAGCAAAATTTCACTAACTTTGAATGTTGGCATTCCCAGCCTTTGACTAAAAAACCCCACATATTAGTGATAACACAATATTCAGGGAACAGAAACACTCACCCTGGTTTTGGCATCGATCTGCCCTCCACGATCCAACAAGAGCTTCACCATGTTTGTGTTTCCCCTTTTGGAAGCCACATGCAGTGGGGTGATTCCATTCTACACCATGAAAAGAACAAACAAAGAGCATAATGGACTTTGAAGTGTATAATGGGGATGACTCTGTCCTTGGATCACAAAAGAGAGGAACATAAATAAGTATAGAGAATAAACAAGGGTGAACTTGAGCTAGGCGCACACATCATTTGAGCTACAGCTCTTTAGAAAGGCTTTTTTAGACATGTACCTTTTCTGAATTTTGGGATACAAAGAACTACACTTGCCCAAACACCAAACATCACAACCTCACAGTAAGACAAATAAATAACCATACATCAAAGCCTCAATTAGTTAATATTCACTGCACAATGATACATTTAGATCACTGCAACATGCACAGCATGTTAGTTCAGGCACAAAGGGACCTTATTAGCATAACAAAGTCAGTGTCAAAAGCCAGGTCCTAATTAGGCAGAAAAATTGTCTAATTGCAGGCATCTCAGGTAGGGAAAATGTACATTGGTTAGGATATCAGCATAAACATTCGATCTTTCCAAAAGACAATCCTTCACAAAAGAATTCAGTAAGACCCTTGGCAATGCAAGTGAAACAAAAGATTAAGTGGAGATAGCCACACACATATTTATATCAGGTACCTTTTTGATAATAGATGATTTACCCCATATATGTACTGTACAATAATAAATGGATTGTATTATCGAAGCCAGTGGTTCTAAGCCTTTTTGGATTCAAGGCACCCTCATCAGACTCAAGGTACCCCTGCATAACTTTTGTGAATGGAACAGCACCCAATTTCAAAAGTAAATATATTTATTACTGTGCGTACCTCCTTGCCAAGAGGCTAGGCAGTGAGGTGGGGGAGCAGCTAGGCAGGAAGAGCCTGATCTGCTTATCTCCTCACACCTCATTTATCTCCTCACACTTCCTGTACACCTTTCAAAGGATCTCACTGCACCTTAGGGTGCCCTGGCACCCTGGTTAAGAAATTCTGATCCAAGCTGTACAGATGTTTTTCATGCAAAGAGTGCTTTTAATTCTTCAGTATTCATATTCTGTTTCATGTACACATGTACAATGTATGGTACTTTAGATATATATTCACATAGAAGTATAGCGTACACTGAAAAGGTAAAATCAACTTACTCCGATAAATACTGAAAATTTACGGGACAGGGTAAAGACTGCAGATGCTATATACATATCTATAATATAGTTGACGGGGGCAAGACACTTTAAATGAGTTAACACAACGTAAACATTTGTATCCTTGTATACTTTCCATTTTGGAATAAAAATGTGTTGCCATTGAACTCCTGAGCATTCTGCTTAAGTGCCAGAAACTCCTGTTAAAGAGATTTGTGCAAAAAGTCATCTGAGCACATGGTAAAATTTTACCTGCACTTTGCTTTGCACCCTGCTTTTGATGTAAATTGTAAACAAAGTTACCATCCCATTTTCACAGAGCACCCCATCTAAGAAGAGAAGAGGGTTTCTCCATACCCTGGCTGTGAAGTCCACTGCAGCTCCTCTGTTGAGCAAAAGTGTCGCAACATTGACGTTTCCATAGTGTGCAGCTATGTGTAAAGGTGTGAAGCCACTCTACAAAAGGAAGTAGTTTTAGTTAGGGAAGGCATTTCATCAATGCTACATCATCAGCTTCCTCAGAGACTTTAACAGCTTTCAGCAAACAGGTGTGTTATGTTAAGCTGACTTGGTGTTCTATAATATGGAACAGGGTCTTGAACAGAGAATGAATGCAGATTTCCCCTACTACAGAAAGCTCTTCTTTTTCATTATCTGTAAGTCTATACTGTTGGCCATTGGCAAAAGAAATATTTCAAATGCAAGTCTTTTTCTTCTTATCAAAAGACAGAAGCAGTGCACCCTTGCAAAAAATCACATTTTACTGTTTCATAATGTACTTCTGTCTAACAAACAGCAAACCCCTAAACTTCTCTTAGAACAGCATATTTTAGCAAAGAATTCCCATCTTCCTCTGAGAAAATAGCAATCACACCATCTTTCAAGTATTCAAGGTGCTTCACTGTTGGTAGGCAGCAATAATTACACCATAATTAACTGTAACATTTTACATTTTCCATATAACATTATACTGAAAAGACCCCATAGCATTTCCCCAACTAAATAATGCCAAAATGCCACTAGAATGTAACTGCCTCTGGGACAGGATGTGCTTGCTGCTTCTATAGGATACAAAATACTGTAAAACAGCATGGAACAGGGTAGTGCTACCCAAGAGAACTTTTACAATCTTTTCTGCAATGTCTGATGAAGGGTGTTTGTGCCTGAAAGCTTGCAATTAAGGATTTTTTTTGGCAAAAATCTGGTTGATCTAATTAAAGGTATCATTCATCTCTATTGCGAGTCCTGACGGCGAAAGGGTAGTGTATTTCAAACAAGAACACTGAGCAAACCTCTAGTGTAGAAAAAGGGCATGTCTACACATCACCCTACGTTGCCGTACTGATGTGCTACATCGCCATACTACGCGCTACGGTGATGAAGTGATCACATGAGTCTACACATGACCAGCAGCTCCTTCGCTGTCATGGCACACTCCCCTGTTTTAGCGTGCTGATATGGTGAAGTAGCGGCTAGAACTAACTGTGCACTGTGCACACCGTGCAGTATGGGCAGTTATTGCGCTGTGCTTTAGTAATAAAAGGAAGTCCTAAAGCACGGCGCAGTAACAGTGTCATCATAGGGCAACATGGGCACATACCCAAAAAGCAGCAGAACATTCAATGTTTATAGGGAGTAGCTAGGCCCTTTTTTATAAAGTCTTCCCTGGAAGATCTTAGACTTGCTTAGATTGTGTGCTTTTACTCCTGCTGTTGATTATGAAGGGAGGAGTGAAATGTTTTCTGTTTCTAGAAAATCCTATAATGCATACTAAAACCTGTAACTTTTAGTGTAGGGGTCAGCATTTTAACCTGTGGATGCAGTAGCAAAACACTGGGGATGTTACATACTGGAAGCAACTTTATTCCCAAAAGATGCAACAGTCAGCCCGTTATTTTAATTTCATTCTGTTCATTTCAAAGTCAGGCCTGAGGTGAGCAAGGTCTAAGCAGAATCATGCACTCTTTAAACTGCTGACCTTATTGCTAGGGGTAGGCTATCATGAACATGCCTTGTAAGTACTGTACACATTCACACCTGTGCTCACATGTAAAGCTGGCTCCCTCACCTCACATACACAACCCGCCCCCCCTCCAAACCCAACTGTTTAAGCATAAAGAGCATAGACACAACTTAGTGACTGCATTTTGGAAACAATTCCTTTTCATTATGGTGGTGGTATTTTCTAAGAATCGCATAGTCAATCAGTACAACAGACACAACATTCCCATTGGTACTGTTTTCAGAACCAGTACTTCCAGAAATAACTTAAAAATATGATGGCAATCTCTATATGAAAATTTTAACTATACAGGGATATGTCTATTCGCTGCCCCCCATTGACTTCTAAACATTTTATTGAAATTATTTCTCCATTGTATTTGTTACTACAGATACAAGTACTTTGAACAAGTCTTCATCTTGGAACGCTCTCCTTTATGTATTATCTTTTCAGCTTTCCTGTACAGAAAATACATAAAATGTGATACACCTAACTCACTAACAGGTTGTTTATCATGTTTTATATTTTGGTCACATTTTACATCTATGCTCTTAACTGGTTTAGTCCTTTTTCAAAAAATATTCAAAACACTGCGTGCCAAGCTCACATACTGTTACACCTACAACAAATTGGCATATCCCTAACCCAGGACAGATTCTTTATTGACACAGCAATTAATTTTTACTGTGGTATTGGATTAGGCAGGTGTCCTAAGAGTCCTCATTTAATATGCCTAGTGAATGTTTCTCATAATTACTCTTACTGAGTTTTAAAATATCTGTTTTTGTACCTCTGTCTCTAGCCCTTTCTTCCTTTTGGCTAAATGTGAAGACGTTTTAGTTGATTTCATCATAACAACACAAGCAGAAAAAAATTACAAAAGGAGAATAAAAATAGGATTGGTGCTTCCTAGCTTCTATCACTTGAATGGGTTGAAAAAAAAATCTCCTTAACTGTCATTTTTAGTGCTAACTGAAACAGAAAAGAAATATGGCTGCATAAAGAAGAGCAGAAGTTACTAATTAAAATAAAAAGTAATTTAAAAAAAATGTGGATCTCGGTACCTCAGTCGTCCTATTCACCATCATCTGATGCAGCATCATTTGAAAAAAAGAGGAAAGATATTACAGATTGGCTGGGAAATAGCAAACTAAGTTGCTTGTTGAAATGAGTTATGTTGTTATTACGGGAAAAGCCATTCAAGCATGCGTTAACACCACATACAACTCATGCTCCCATGGGCCCCAAGCCATATCTTATTTAACATGGAGAACTCAGTTATTCTGCTTCCACTCTTGTTTCTTCTTGTCCATAAATAATGAAGGAAAGCAGATTTCCAAAGGGACAACATGCGTCAAAAATATATAGCCAAGCATGGCAAAGCAGATATTTTCCAGGGTGATCCTGGATTTGGCAATGTCTTTTTTACCACAGAAGAAGCTACTTTGGCTTCTTATTTTAAAATGGGTGCCCCATCCCCAGAAATATTCAGTCTCATGATTACCCTGGCCACCTCCAGGATGAAGATTTTTTACCTTGGACTGGACATCAGCATTGTGGTCATTCTGCAGAAGGAGAGCTGCTGACTTGGTATCATCTTTTCTGGCAGCAATATGTAAAGCTGGCAGCCTCACTTTCCCCTTGGTGTCATTTTCCAGAAGAATGGCCACTGCCTGATTGTGTCCCTGCTGCAGTGCAACAGCTAGTGGAGTGAAGCCATCCTGATAAGAGTGGAAAACAAAATATACTTCATAAAATGAATGGTGCACAACATCAGTCACACAGCACTGTTCACACACAGAAATGTGTGAAATGTAGCTTCCCAGTCACTCTCAACCTGTGGGTCATGACTTCCAATGAATTGTCCAGCATAGAAGGCATGAAAAATATCTCAATTTTGCCTTAAAGCATCCACAAAGTGCATTTTACCTGGAACAGTTAGGCTAATACCCAGTGTATCTGGAAATCTCACTCTTACAAAACACCAAGGCTAAGTCTGCCCTGCAGGTGGTGATTTGACCAAAGCATCAACAGACACAGTTAATCAAAACAATGACACAACATCATGGACTTTAGCCACCCGAAGTAAGTATCCAGAACCTTAGAGGGCTTGCACAATCAACACTGAAGCCCATATCACCATGTCGTCACAGCTTTGTTGCTTAAACAAGTTGGATTACAAGTATCCTGAGCATGTGTACAACCACACACCAAACCACAGTTTAGGCACATAGCCTAAAAGAAAATATAGACCTTGAATTGGGTCAGGGATGGATGAGGGGATAAGATGTATGGCAGGTGAGTATGAAATGGAGAGAGACACATTGGGAGAGGGAATTATCATGTTGAAGTCAGTAGGATAAATTTGACTGATGCCCATCATCAAAAGGAAGAAAGGGAGCAGATCGAGGGAGTTGGGACAGAGGAATAAGGTCAGAAGAAGAAGAATTTGATTGGGTTTGAAAGAGAAAGGGAAAGATATGAGAGAGAGAAAGAAAAATCTGAGGAGCTGTAAAAACTTGAAATCCTCTAGATAAACATTCAGACTTTCAAGGTATTTCCCAGATTTACCACACCAGGTTCATCCCTTGGCAATCTAATACCTTTTTACTACTTTTTGCATAGAATTCTGGCTTGATGTTGTAAATGTATCCTGTTATAGCTACTTACTCGCCAGAGATTAATCTATCTGCTGTAAATTAAAGAGGATGAACAGCTGAAGGAACAGCTGAATTGTAATTCTAAGGCTAGGGTAGATTAGGTAGAGAGATGGCTTAGTGCACTGACCTTTCACCTCTGGAAACATGAGAGCAAATCCTGGATTAGTAGGACAAATGTGAAACTGAGCTAGGTGGTCTCATCCTCATTCCCACTTATTCACATCACGAAAGCACCACAGAATTCAATATTATTGGCTACATCTACATAAGGGAACCTCAGATGTTGAACACATACCCTTTTTTCCATAAACTTTCTGTCCAGGGGTCCCCATTCAGCACTGCTGTACTATTTTTTGAGACAGAGCATTGCTGTGTTCTAGTCCAAGGGCATCAAACTTATGGAGTCTCACAGGTTGGATGAGAGTAGCTGGGCCAGTTTGTGGGCCAGATTGGGACTGAGCCCTTCTTCCAGGTGGCGGGCCTGTGACACTGGGTCTGGCCCACACGCTGCAAGCAGCATGTGTTGTCCCTGGCCCTGCCCTGGGGCTTGCACTCCATACAGAACATGGGTTGGACCTGGCACTGCATGCAGCACAGAGGGTCCAGGGCGTGGGCTGCATGTGCTGTCCCACCAGATTGGCTCTGCATGCAGGCTCTGGCGCTGATTGAGGTCAGGCCATGGGGCTGTACCAGAGCCAGCAGAGCCTAGTCTGACAGGATATTGTATGCAGTACATGCCCTGTGCTATGTGCAGCACACAGGGCACTGAGTCCAGCCCACACAACACATACAGTGTGGAGGGCCAGGGATGGCGTGTGCCCTATGTGGCATGTACCGTCAGTCCAGAGGGCTACAGGCCAGATCCTACAGCTCCATAGCCAGATCTAGCTATGTACCATGTGTTTGACGCCCCTGCTATAGCCAGTGTCAGTTTCTGTCTGTCATTTCAGTGGCACCTCCAGTTCTGGCTGTCATGCCTATTTTGTTTAACATATGGTGTAGTACGGCTGGAGTTTTGGTCCAAGAGATATATGAAAAGCAAGGGTATACCCCTCCCCCCGATATCTTTTATTGGACCAGCTGTATACTTGGGAGACATGTTAGATAAACTTTTGGGCACAGAGTGTCCTTCCTTGCCAGGCCTGGGAGGCACTTAGTGCTTGAAAAATTGGACAATACACTTGGTCTAATAAAACATATTATCAAAAATAATCTTGCTTCTTTCTTAACATAGTTATTTACCCCCCAAAAAACAGCAGGATCACATCTACCTATGGAGCAGGAAGCAGCTGAGG